ACCTCAATCAACATTCCCTCAAGATGTCAGGCAAGAACCAACAAGGAAAGATGGACGTTACTCAAAAGAACGGCACGTCAACTCACCTCTACACTTCCATCATGACCAACTAGCTAACACAGCACAGTCCTCAACGCACCCCTCCACAAGCACTCCGCCGAGTCCAAAACCCCCTCGAACCTCCCCTCCACCATCAACGCCGGAATGTGCACAAGCAGCAACCCCATCGCCGCGATCCTCACCAACAGCTTCCTAGACTTCTCCTCCTCGAACGGTACCGATCTGCGAAAAGCCGGTGTAGGGCCGGGACAAAGATACTGCCTCGAAGCTTCGTCGTGGAAGAGCGCTGCGGATAAGGGGATTGGTGAGGTGCCTAAGGTCAAACTTGAGTCGACGCATGAGAGCGCGCTGAAGAGTGTGGGGTTGGATACGCTGAAGAAGTGGGCGGCGGAACAGGAGAATCAGGGACAGGTTATTCGGCCTGGGCAGGGTAAGGGGGGGTTCGTGAGGGAGAGCGATCAGATTGGTGGGAAGGAGCCCAGGGCGTGAGGTTCTTGTCTGAGTCGTTGGTGAAGAAGATGGCTGGGGTTAGGAGATAGTATTGTACGATAATGATGATGGAGAAGAGCAAGAATAAACAGATCCTGAAAGCACTCTCCCAACCACATGGCCGTCTATCTCTACCCATAACCGCCTATTCGTCACCTATCAGGATCTTCCGAACAACTAGTCCCGAACGCGTGAGGAATGTGGTGTGTTGGTTTTGTTATCCTACTTATCTCAACGTGCGGGGTCGTGAAGATGTATTATACGTTGAAGCCTATAAGGTCTTCAATGTCCATATTGGCATAGACTTGTAATCCACTGACCCCTACGGTAACCTGCTTTACTTTATGCGCTAAGTCAGGGCGCGATAGGATTGTTCTTACTAAGCTCGCAATAGGGAACACGATCATCGTGGCGTTTGGCTTCTCGATCCAGACCAATTTGTAGAGCACTTCTTCGACGACAGGGTGGATGGTCTTCGATACACGCGCTAAAGAAGCTTGGCTGCTGGTGTCGATGCGATTGATGATAAGAAGCTTAAGCTCGTTGGGTAAAATCTCGAAGCGCGAAAGGCCTGGAGGATACATGGTGTGGAGAGTTTGCAGTGTGCGTTTTGGTGGATGAGCGCGGAGGTACACGATCAGTTGACACGAAGGGGGTCAACTAAAGAAGCAGCGGCGAATTGAACATTTGCACGTCACACACCAAGTGAAAGTAATGGAAGGCAACGCTGGTCGCACAATGATCGATCCGTGCACCAGTGAGGAGCACCCAGGCTCCAGCACTAACGAATGGGTTCTCGCCCAGGCGAGATAAACGCATCGGGAGTGACGCATAATACCTCTCATCGACTCCATCCGCTTCGCCATTCGATACCAAGACACCAAACTCTGGCAACAAAACTTTGGGAATGATGCCGAACCTCGAGGGTCTACCATCCGAGCTCCTGCTTCCCGTTGCCCGTTACCTTTCCCAGTCCGATCTTTACAATCTAGCATCGACATGCCGAAAGCTCTCGAGCGCCGCAGAAGACATACTCTACGATGCACCCGTGATAGGAAGGCCCTACAGCGAGGAGTATCAAAACCCCATCGCCATGAGAAATCGCGTTTTCACATTTGCTCAAACACTGCTTCATCACCCTCGGTTGGCTTCGAAAGTCCGTCTGTTTTCAGTATCAGCATCCAAGGGCGGTGCTGATTTCATGGTTCATCCCGACGCTATGAGTTATGCTGCCGGCTGTCTTCGAGAAATTGGCCTCCATAGTGATCCCTGGGCCGATCGCGTTGGGGATCGGATGCGCCGATTGAAAGCAGGCGATGGCATAGCATGGACAGGCCTTATACTCACAATCGTCCCTAAGTTGCGAAACCTGACTATTGAACTCCTGTCTAACGCTGGCTTCACTACCACTTCCACTTATGATAGCTACTATCGCTACCGTTGCCAACCCCTGGAAGGGCTCTTCGGATACCTTGAGGAGACGTCCGACTCGGCGGCTCTTCTACCACTCGATCTCACCGCCATTCCTGGATTGTGTCGCTTACAGACTCTGTATTATCTCGGTTACGATATAGCATCGAGCTGGATTTTCTTACCGGAACTGCAGACCCTCAAGATATCACACGAGTGCCGCCGTCCTGATCTCAAACGAGTGCAGACCCAGAACGAAATACCATCGCCCGGTATTAATGTGCAGAACATTGTATTGGAAGTCTCTACTTTATTGCTAAGCCCGAATGCTATCGATTCGTGTCGGGCACTCGAAGACTGCTTTGTTTCCTCCAATCTATATCCCAGCTTGCGCGAAGTCAGGCTATACCTCAACAACCAGTGGTACAACCCAGACTACAGCTTTGCAGAAGATGACGAGGAGTCGGATCGCTACCACGAGAATATTGACATAATCGGAGCACCGGGAGAAGGCCACGCAGACGTGGTACTGAAGCGGATGACCTCACTATCACAAACTCTGACCGGGTTGTGGATTGATGTATATAAAGACCTTGATTCGAGCTTTCTGCACTACGTCAGCCCATTCTCTAGCTTCTGTGCTTTCCAGGCGCTGACCCTGCTATCTCTTCCGCAAATGCTACTTCTCGGCGCTGTCTATCGTATTCCAGGGCAGCAGCACTAACCTGTTCCTGCATACCAGTTACTCCCTCGCACTCTCGAGTATCTCGAGATTACGTCGCCTTGTGTATCGGTAGTCGACTGGCTTGAGGAGTTGCGCAGCTATAGTGAGCTTATGCCGCGACTAGAAAACGTCACGTTAGTTTGCTCAGACTCTCGACGTGATCCTTATCCGGCAGTTCGGTCACACACCGAAGTCTGGGTTGAAGAAGCTGCCGCACCGTGGTTCTTCTGTGTCCAGATCTTCTGGAGTGACGGAGATCTGAGTTCATGGTGGCCCCAAGGAGCTTGGTCTCATGATTGCGACCCATACGTTATGCGAGTTGTTCGGTATCTGGAACGACTGCATATGGAGAAGTACCTAGGTAGATCATGGGCGATATGGGCATGGGTTCTAGGATAAAGATATTGCTGATAGTTCTGTAGCTGGAATGCTAGGTGCCAAGATCAATTGTTACGTGTCATGGCCTGTTTCCTTTCGATACCTAGATATGCCTCCACATACTCCGCTAGATTTAGCAATACCACCCACCATCGATCGGCGTAGCAGTTCCAGTCATAAACGAAGACGCATCCGAGATGAGGAACTCGATAAGCGGCGGAATCTCTGTTTGATGTGCTTCCCTTCCGAGCGGAAGGAATGAGTAATCGACTGGCGCGCCTCGAATCTCATATGCCTTCCTCAACATGGGAGTATCGACGGGTCCCCTGGACGGAGTTAGCGCGTTGATACCTACAAATTGGGTTTCGATAAGTTGACTTACGGGCAAAAGCAATTGACCCTAATCTTCTTCGGCCCCAACTCTTTCGCTGCGCTTCTTGTCATGCCGACCACCGCATGCTTGGAGGCGCAATAAGCCAACTGTTTGGGTGCGCCAATGATGCCCAGAATACTGGCCGCGTTGACAATCGAACTACCCTCATTCATGTGCGGCACCTGAGCGCGCAAACAGTTTCTCAACCCAGTAACATTCACAGCCATGACGAAGTCCCAGTCGTCATCTTCAACCTCCTCAATACCAGCGACGGCGCCTTGTCGGCCAGTTACACCTGCGAGATTGGCTGCACCATCCAGCTTCCCGAACTTTTCGACAGTGGCTGCGATCCAGCTTTCGACGTCGCCTCGCTTGCTCACGTCGACGACCTGGGTCATGACTTGCGAACCTGATCTCTGAAGTTCGCACTCGAGCTCTTTCAATGGCTTCTCTTGTACGTCGGCGAGCGAGAGTTTGGCGCCTTTGCTGGCGAACAGGCGGGCGGTTTCGAGACCCATGCCTGACGCAGCTCCGGTGATGACGATGACTTTGTCCTTCAGAGACATGGTAACTGATTTGTGAGTACTTGCTGGTAGGATGAAGTGTTGTAGAGAATTGGTCGGTCGAGAATCGTACACAATGCTCCTTGAGCAACGCAACCACAAACGAAAGGAATTGAAGTGACCAGCATAACTGCCGACTAGTACGCGGTTTCAGTGGGACAGCCGACGTGCCAAACCTCCGAGCCTATTGGAACTACCTCGCAGTGCTTCGGACCGTTCCCACGATGGAGAAAGGAAGTCCTTTTCCGGTATAGCCTTAGGGCGCTTATGTACCTAGCGGTGAGGCGCGGAGGTCATAAATCATAACCCTTGCCAATATTCAAGCAACGATGGCCACAGGAACTTCCAACTTAGAGAAATATTGGCTGTACCGCATTGTTGTAGTACGTCCCGACGTTATAGGATGCGGTGTTTTGTTATAGCTGTTGTACTTGTGCGAGAGTTTGGTCGGTGGTGTAGCTAGTGGCGGGGCGTAGTGTCCATGACTCGACGCGCGGCGATCTCGGAAGGGCCGTTCCCTTCTGACCCTTCGGATCTCATCCTAGCAGGATTTGTTTCTGCGAGTGTACCTAAGCAAGGGGGGAAAGGGCACTTGAGTATATCTCTTCGTCGTATCTTCGTCATGCCCACGGGTTGAGCTGGGTGACGAAAACCTCGGAAGGCTTCAGAGGCGTTCGAATACGAATAAGTCTATCAGATAGACTCGTTCTAGCTTTTGCGATAATGGGGTAGCTCCACCCTCCGATGAAGATTGACGTAGATACCTATCCATGCAAATGCTGCAGCGTGAAGTTCCTGACACTGAGGCATTGATCGACGATTTCGCGATGATGGAATGGCTGGGCAGCAAGCGACACATTCTCGACCATCGACTTCACGTAACGAACTTGACGGCTCGCGACATTGAACTGACAGGCCGTTATATCTTCTCAAGACACATCACAGCATCTTCGCAACCCTCGAAGTTGAGTGATCCATTATGCGAACTTCGACTACTGCAAAGATGAAGTTCTACGCTGGCGTAGCATGCTTTTCGTTGCTCGTCGGAAGCGCGGGAGGAAATAAGGGCGCAAGTTAGTGCCATCCAGTAGACCAATGCGTAATGCTGAACTGACTTACCAGCGAGCAAACCACCAACCTGGGTAACATACAGCCCACCACCAGTATCAAGTATCGCCACATTGACCTCATCTTCTACGACTTCAACGCAAGAGCCGACTCCAACTTCCCCGACTGTCCTTACCAGCTCTTCGTCAGCCTGGTCAAACAGTACTTCCACTACCTCCTCGACCCTCATCTCTATGTCCAATGTAGTCAGCACGTCGACATCTTTTCCTAGTACTACCTTGGCGACCTTACCCTCTCCCACCCCGAGTTCCACTTCAGGTCCTCAACCGTACACCTTCTCAATCGAGATAAGTAACCAACGCCAACACGTCGGCCAATGGTACGGTCGCTACATATCCGAAGGCCTGACCGATACGCTCAAGAACCGCTGCGACGACGACAAAACTGGCGCTAATACCTGCAAAACCAAGAAGGACAAATTTGACAACATAGAGTACCCTGACAAAGATGGTTTCGTGGAAAAGAAAACGAACTTCGTTGAAGTCAATGTTGAGAGTGACTACATCCCCGGTAAAGCCGAAGGAGGGGTCAAGTACAACGGAAAGTCGCTACAGAAGGCCTTCATCGCTCAGATCGCAGATACCTTCCAGAAGAGTGGCGAGGATGAGAAGAATTGTTACAAGTTTGACCAGGAGTCTACGATCTGCCCCGGCTGCAACCCGAAATTTTGCCTTTCCTTTAATGCGAGGAAGAAGATATTGAGGTGGTGTAACGCGCCCGAGTATGTTCGAGTGAGCGTCAAGGACGGAGAAGGGAAAGAAGTCGCACATATGAAGGTCGTGGTCAAGTTCACGGGTACGATAGACCAGGGGAAATTTGATTGCATGGCTATTCGAGAGACTGTCGAGAGAAGCGCTCGAGATAACCGGTTGAAGGACGTGAAAGACGCGATTGATGGGAAAGAAGTCGTGGCGAACGTGAGTTGCTCGGGCGAGGAGGTTACGGGGACTTGTCCCAATGAAGAGTGCTTGTATCAGTTAGGGCCGTGTTTCAAGTAGCTTCCATATATTGAGATATTAGATATCGACTAGCAAAGTTTCAACAAATTGCGTGACACCGTGAGTGGTGAGGTGTGTGGTGTCGGTGGGAGCATTTGGTGAGGAGGCGTCGCTGGCGCTGCATGACCATGACGCAGCGCCTCCGCCGGACTCCCGACATATAATTTCCGTGGGGCACTGGCGCCCACCACGGCATGCAATACGCGCCTGCCATACGTCCCACAGCCTAATCCATCACAGTCACACGTTCTTCTCGTCTCTGTTATTACAATCGCACATTCACATCCTTCAAAATAGGACGCAAACATAAAGCGCACCGCCAACAGGCGCAACAGAACAAGCCGTGGCGCAACGCTGAAAAAGGTCGAAAGGGCAAAGGCAAAAGAGGCAGGATGGGGCAGGACGAGTCACGGGTTGTAGACCCAAACGCGCCACCTCAGATCTTATCGGCGCGTACTCTGGAGGCTCTTGCGCAATACATCAAGGATGGGCGTGCGAAGAAGATTGTCGTCATGGTGAGTTCCAGCGCGTCAGCATGGCCAGACGCGTGCTGACATTCGGAAGACAGGTGCGGGCATAAGTACTTCCGCAGGCATACCAGACTTCAGATCACCTGAAACCGGCCTATATGCCAATCTCGCTCGCCTGAATCTGCCGTACCCCGAAGCCGTCTTCGACATCGACTTCTTCCGCAAGACCCCCGAGCCGTTCTACTCTCTCGCTCAAGAATTATACCCCGGGAAGTTCAGGCCGACGATAACACATTCCTTCATAAGCTTGCTCTACCAGAAAGGGCTGCTACTGAAGCTGTTCACACAGAACATTGACTGCCTGGAGCGCGAGGCTGGAGTCCCCGGCGATAAGATAATAGAGGCTCATGGCAGTTTTGCGACGTGAGCAGGCTTTCTTCTACATGCTCCAATCAATACTGATTCGAGACAGGCAATGCTGCATCGACTGCAAGAAGTCGTATCCAAAGGAGCGCATGAACGAAGCCATCCAGAACAAATCGGTGCCTCGCTGCGTCGATTCGTTATGTGACGGTCTCGTCAAGCCCGAAATCGTCTTCTTCGGAGAACAGTTGCCATCCGCATTCTTCGACAACCGAAGCCTCCCAGCGCAAGCCGACCTATGCATAGTCATGGGCACATCGCTCAGCGTAGCCCCGTTCTCTTCGCTACCGCAGCTCTGCGAAGACGAGACCCCGCGCCTTCTCATAAACTCAGAAAGGGTCGGCGATATGGGAACACGGTCAGACGATGTTCTGCTGCTGGAGGATTGCGATAGTGGTGTGAGAAAGTTGGCAGAGGCATGCGGTTGGACGGACGAGCTGGAAGCGCTCTGGGCAACGACCGCGCCTGCTGAGGAACCCGTGGCACCCAAGGAGACAGTCAAGAAGAGCCATGACGAGTTGCTGGAAGACGAGGTCGACAAGCTCACGCGCGACGTGGAAGAGAGTTTGAGGTTGAACCAAGCGGAACACAAATGGCTCGAGAACCACGTCGATAACAAACTGGCAAGGAAACAGGATGATGATCATTCTGCGACGGGATTGCAACCAACAGTCGATGCGGCGTCCAGGGCGAGTCCTAGTGAGACGAAAACGGACCCTGGTGGTGGGCTAGGACATGTGTTTCCGCACATGAATAAGTCTTCGCTATAGACATCTCATAAGATGCAGGGATGTATGGGATATAGATACACGATCTCACGATCATGAATGACGATAGCGTACTATGCGAGTCAACAAGGCGACCCGTTTTGGAAGTCGCGCACTGACACGGCTGCCTAATTCCCTTATATCCGAGTCTGCACCTTCCGTCTTCCTTCACGCCTATACCTCGCCCTCACTCTTTCTCGAAGAAATCAGGATGGCATCAATCACCGAGCTTCCTGCTGAACTACTCGATTTCATACTCGCCGATCTTGGTAGCCGCGCCATCATCAACCTAGCTCAAACATGCAAGGCCCTCCACGCCGTCGCCATACCGGCAGCGTACCACACCGTCACCCTCACGTGGGACAACAGCCATGTAAAGGAAAAGCCAAAAGGAACGCAGCGGGGTAGGGAACACAGGCATGAGAAAGCGCCTAAAATACAGTCTCTGGTCCGCACGCTCACGAAGAAGCCCAAATACATCCAGCTGATCAAGAGACTGGAGTTCTGCGCCAAGGGATGTGTTGAGTACGGCTACTTAGACGTTGCCGGAGATATATTCCCAGACATTGAGTATGATACGAGTGGCAAAGACTGGGAGAATGAGATGTTCAAGGCTCATGTAAAAGAGGAAGGGTTCCAGACGTGGTTCTGTGGTTGGAAAGAAGAGGCGCCGCATATGTTGATCGCACTTCTCGTCGGCACGTGCCAAGCGCATCTGGAATCTTTGACTATGGAGTGGGGACTCTTATTGAATAACCGGTGGTTTCCTGCTATGATGAAGCATGCCATCATGAGCAATGCTGCAGTGTCGGAAGCAGATGACGGACAAACATTATGGTTCGCCAAGTTGAAAACTGTGTGCGTTACCTTGGAAGAGACGGAGGGGGCGGCCGCAACGTGGGAGCGTAGTTTCTGGAGCGAGCAAGAGACTCTACTTCTCTTTTTCTATCTTCCGGCGATAGAGTCGCTCGAAATTGTTACGTGCTCATTGAGAGGGGGCAACTATGATGACTATGGCGGACTATGGGACGAGGCAGACGGAGTGGACGGCTCATTCGAGTGGCCACTAGAGACACCTCCTCTATCACAGACACTGACGACTCTACGCCTTACTCCCTCTTCGATGGACCCTCTCACTATCCAGTACCTGCTCAGGCAGACGCCCAACGTCAAGGTCTTCTACTACGATTGCTGTTTGCATCCAGAGCACCCACCTCTCCGCTTGTCGATCTTGAAGGATACACTACGGCATATTCGCGACACACTTACCGATTTGACTGTGCGCTACAAGCACTATAACAACGATGGTGCCATGGATCCCCCAACCGACGCCGCGGAACCTCTAAGAGAGGGTCTGGGCCCACTACACGATTTCCCCGTTCTCACCACTTTGACTACGTCATTCCCGGTGCTGTTTGGTATGCATAATACGCCAAATTTAGCGAAACATCTCCCTCCGACGCTCGAAACGTTGACAATCACGAACGATCTTTCTGCGTATCAGGCACTCAGAATGCGCTTTGAAGATCTCAACGCCATGGTCATCTTCCGACAATACCTTGCGGGTCAAATACTAGCCTCGGATGTAGTTACCTCCCATGAGGGTGACTCTTGCAAATGGTTGCAAGATCGGGAGCCGGAGTGGAAGGCCGCAACACCGCGGTTAAAGAAACTGACATATGACGTGGGAACCGAGTTATCTACGGGGTACTGGCTTGAGGACGAGCCTAAAGAGCAGCTATTGGGATTGTGCAAGACGCAAGGCATCGAAGGCAATGTGGTACCACATTATGACTCCCAAGGTCGACTCGTGGAGTCGGATTAATTCGTTACCGTATGGCATAAGATACTCTAGTAGTTTGTTTTCTGGCGATCATCTGTTCAAACGATTAGTACACGCGTCGTTCTTTCGTCATGTTCTGGTCTTGTACCAAATATCGAATGCTCCTCCGTCAACACAAATAGCAAAACGTATACTCACAATTCGCACCCATAGCTTTCCTAAGCTTCATCGTCACAGCCTCTTCCTCCAAATCCTTCTTATCCCCTGTCTGGATCTCCACAGCGTAGGTACGGATGACCTGCTTGACCTGACCACTCTGGAAGCTCATCTTGGCTTTGCGCATCACCTTTGTTTGGGGTCCTATGGACGTCTCAGCAATATCGACATAGAGACAGGGGATATAACAGACCTTGCCAAACAACAAAAGCAAACTTGACGCGCTCGCTGTACTCGTCGTTTCCTAGCTTCATGCGCACGTAGGCGTATGCTGCTTCGTCGTCGCCAAGACTCTCCGTCATCTCGGCAATGTCGCCGCTTCCTGTGCCGGCGAGTTTGAGGTTATCTGAGGTTGCGGATGCATACTGAGGATGGTCAGCCGTCAGATCCCTCACGTTTTTTTTTACTTGACGCCTTCGATCTCGTCTCGGTGAACAAAACTGTTCGGGCGCATTATCGGATGTACCTTCAAGATAAGCCACGTGGTCTCGGATTTGTCAGAGCGCACGTCTTCGTATGCTTGCGCGATTTCAGGGTCGCTAAGAATATCGGCTGCAGAAGGCATGGTTGAAAAAAGTTATTGCTATCGCTGGATATGGGAGGGCGATAGCAGGGGTGGGACAACTCGGAAGGGGAGTTTTGAGGAAGTTGGGATGGGGATTCAGGGTTCAGCGATGCCGCCGCACTAGCTGGGGCTAGTGCGGGGCTACGCCATTCAAGGAGCCGCGAAGGGCCAATGGGATCGGGGAGGGTGTGGGTCTGGAATTTCGAGTTCTGGCGGACGCGATACCTCCTTTCTGCTCACATCTTCTGTCGATTGCGCACGTATCGCGACTCTGATCTGGATTATTGTTGAGACAGGACCGCATTTTACTTTTGGTTAACCTCACGATGTACTCTGTCAACACTTCAACCCCTTTGTGAGACGAGTGTCCTCAACAAATAAAGAAGCGTGGAAGCAGACGCTGCTCACACCAGCAGCCTTGCTAATACGCCTCACAATCATTCACTGCATATCCAGAGGAGGTATGGAACTAGATAATTTGTAATTTGATACAACTAATGCTCTTGTCTATGAGCTATCTACACCTGACACTACAGACCAGATCTATTGTCCGGACCTCGGGCCTTCGGTCTCGAGAGTGGCACCGGGGAAGTTGATGCCATAGTCAAACATACTCCTGCCCGCCGGCACGCCCTGGCATCCACCGCCTAGATCCTTAAGCGGCTGCAGCGCCGGCCCAAGACGACTGTCAACAGCAGCCAAAGCAGCAGTCAGAGCAGCACCTCCAAGAAGCTTGCTCAAGAAAGACGGGGTATCCGCCTGCACAGCCTGCGCGATGAAGCAGCCCATCTTCTTGGGGTCATTCAAGTCCTCTGCGAAGTTGATAAAGCCACCAGTAATGTCACCCAGGTTGACGCCCGAGAAACTGTTTACGGCGCCCGTGTTGCCACCGACCTGGCAGTTCAACGGGTACGCGGCACATTGCTGTGCGGTCGAGACACCAATGTCTGCAAGCGTCCATGGGTCGAGCGGGTGGCGCTTGTACCAGTTGTCTGGGATGCGCTCATAGCCGTACTTGTACGTCAACGCACCGCTGGCGTCGCGCTTGTAGCTGAAGAAGTCCATGAATACATCTTGCGTCAGGAATCCGCGGGGAGCCTCAGCGCTGTGGTTCGCAAGCAAGTGGTACGCGAACATGTGTGCGCCAAAGGTGAATGCAACACCAGCGTACGCGGGACTGAAGTAGAATGGGTTGGTAGCGATGCTGTGCTTTTTGCGGTTGTTGGAGTGCTCTGCGAGGACTCGGGGCGTGATCAGACCTCCTGCGCGCTGGTTGGAAAGGTCAAAGAGCTCTTGCATGTATTGCGGGTAGGAGCGGCAGTTGGAGTTCATCTCAGGTGCGAGCCAATCGCCACGGGTGATACTGGCATCGCCCTCACTTCTCAGATGGCCGTATGCGCAGATTCCTGTTTCGTTGCCAAGGAGGTCACCGACCAGTGGAGGAAGAGAACTGGTCTTGTCTGAATGGGGACCGATGCTCCAGCGGCCGGAGATTGGGTCGCCGTTGAAGAAGGCCGTCGCGGTCTCGAGGAAGATGGTGGCTGTCTTGTCGAGGCCGAAAGCTTGCCAAAGACCGGTGTTGATGCTTGCTGCATCGACAACACCGTCGCGCTGGATGTAACCGTGGTTTGCGGCGGCGTTGAGGCCGGCACAAGGACCGCGGATATCTCCTTTGCCTGGGGCGCGCCACTCGTGCTCGCCAGATGTGTTGACGAGTTGGAGGGCAGGGTCGAATTGGTTGAAGAGGGCGTGGTTGGGTGTGCCTGGGTATTCTGGGAACTCGATAATTTGTGGCGTTGTTTGACGCTCTTGGATGCGCTTCTCAGCGACCATACGAGCTATCTCGGGGAAAGCCGAGACCAGCAGAGCTGGTCCGGTAAGGAGCACGAGAGATGTCTTCGGAAACATTGTGTAATGCAGTGATGAAGGGTGAAGAGATGCCGATGATAGTGAGCAGATCTTGTCTATCTTATATTTCTTTGCATCCACGGCTGCATACTAGCGTAAGTTCCCCACTGTGGAGTTAAGGGTCACTCCCAACGTTCCTCATAGCCGGTGTCTTCGGTCTCGAACGAATTCGAGTATCTTCTCATGGTTGATCCGCTAGTACATGGACTACTTTGTCAGTGTGCAGCCAACAGTCGCGGTGGCGACCATGATCCATTGTCCGGGGCAGTCGTAGAATCGTCCCAAGACAGTAACCGCCCATGTCGATCTGCAAGGCTCACATGGCTGGGGTAAAGTCGCCAAGACTGGAGCTACGAGCGGCAATGCGCTATTGAGGGACAACGGATGCCATTCCGTGATCAGCAGTATAGTCAGACCCTGAGTTGGCTGCGAAAGAAGTCCAGGAATGACACACTGCCCTTCGAGGCCCTCTTGTTTGCCTAGTCATCCCGATGTAGTAGTGAAAAGGCCTTAGACCAGGAGGCGCTGGAAATTTGCAGTGTTCTCTTGAAAGGCGACTGGGGATAGATCCAAGTTAGAGCAGCACCACAGCGAGTCATGACTGTTGCGGGGAGTGTAAGTGAAGTTGCGAAGTTCCTCTAGTAGTCTCCTACACAGCTTTCAATTTCTCTTGACGTGGATTACACAAGTCTTCTTGACGCGAAATAGACTAGAGGATGCATCATCCGATGAGAAACAATTCAGTTTGCTACATCGGGTAGTTCCCGCGCGGTGCAACCCAACGATGATGGATGTCATCCACGACATGCCCCTAGCCAACTTCTTTTTTGTTATTACCGTCCGCTTGTCCGGAGCCTGGAGATGACTTTAGTTCTTTTTTTGATGAAAAAACATCCATTGTTGGCGCGCCAAAAGTGGCACTTGGCGGGCAGACCCGGTGGAACTCCGCAAACTGCCTGTCAAGATGTGAAGAGACTCCACGACGCAAGTCCGTTTGACCCACTGGCAACATGCACTATAAACGGAAGGCACCGTGTGAATCTGATCAAGATGACGGAGCGGCGTGGCGTCCAGCGCAAGTGTAAAGATAAGCTCGACGAAATCGTTGTTTAGCGCGACGCTAGCGGAAACTACCCCGGGTCTCGTTCATTCCGTGGCTCAGATCGACCATCAAATTGCCCGGCTGGTGCTTGGGAAGATCCACGACTGGCACTTCTGACATACGAGAACCATGCTATTGGCTAATAGTCTCAGCAACAGCGCCCTGCGCCGGCGACCCTTACATGGCGTCGCCGTCTTTTCCAGATAATCAGTAATTATTAATCTACCTAGGTAGTTTTCAGGGGAAAGTGTACCGGATAACCCTCAGTTGCCGAACAACTGCCGAAGAAGATCTCACCAATCAGTGGTCTTGCTTACTGCTCACCAACAGCCATGAGTTCATCAGTGAGCTGTCTTGCATCGACTACTCGATAACCAGTCCATTTGGGGAAGTTTGTCGCGTCGCAGTGCAGTCATTTTGGCATTCCCATACGACCGAGTTCCATAGGTAGAGAAGCACTTTTTTCAACCTCGTCTCTCCATAGGACGACGACCTTCGCAACATCCGGCAAGAACACGAGGCTCAAACTATGCGATGAGAAGGTTCGCCCATACCTATAGTCTGGGCCATTTGATGCGTGCAAGGCCTCCAAGTGCCGTCAGCCTCGCCACCATACAGGTCTCTTACTCTTGGAAGACTCAATCGTCACTACCCACGCATCCTCCACTAATCTCAAATACTACAAAGTGTAAACGGCACTAAGTCTTGGCAAGATGTTCGGTCCCTAATAACAGTCACCCAAAGAGACATCAGCACCAAGCGTTCGGCAGTGTATGCAGTCTATCGCCGTTGCCTGTACTTCCGTAAGACTCCCGAGGCTATGGAGCCATCCCCGCATATCTTCTCAGTACCACTAGCCCAAGAGCCTCGGGAACTTCGCTGAATCTTCTCCTATGTTTACAGGACACGGAAAGGCTTTCTTCATGCGAGCCTTTGGGAAACGTTTTTGGACTTTACTCAGTGATATTATTTGGCAGCTTCCTGGTCTTGATATACTCAATTTAGTGGTGTCTGACGGGGAGATGGTTGACTAGCTAGGTGCTCATGTAGGTCCACCTGCATCAGTGATGAAGGGGGCTTGCTGCCCGTTCGTTGGGCAGCAAAGAACAAGCAGAAAGAGCGAGTGTGACACGATCGGTGTAGACTCTCATCCTTTGATGCGCCACTTACAACTACTCTCGCTTGTTAAATGTGCTGGTCTTAGAACGCAGGCACCATGCGACTGAGTAAGACGGTAAATCATCGCAATGCAAGTATATTTCCCACACACTATTGTTTACATTATGTAGCAGTATATTGCTGCTTGCAACTACATAAACATGTTCATGCCCTGGCCTTCGTTTAATTTCATAGGTCGCACGGCTTTAGGATGTTTACGGTCTGGGCCGCTCAGTGCAGCATGCAAAGTCACCCTTAAAATGATACAATATATCACCATATTGACATACGTGGTTCTAAGTTAGCAAACCAACAGGAAGTTTGTGCAAGGTCGTATGTTTGCTGTCCTCTGCGACTCTAAGATAAGATGACTCGTCACTGAGGAGATCTTGCCTATCGCCCCACCACCATGGCAGACATGACGGTACGAAACACTGCGAACCTGATCGCCAATATCAATAATGGTATCATGGTAGGCCAGAACTTCGGAAATATCAACCATGAGTCCGGATGCCATACCGATGAGCAGCGATTCGACAAGTGTACCAAAGCGCTCTGGGTGACAGACCCTGATATCGACCGCGATTATGTCGTGAACACTAAGGGTAGCCCCGTTTCTGGCACATGCGACTGGATCTGGCAAGACCGCACTTTCTTGGATTGGTTGAATGGGTCATCATCCAGAACATTATGGATCGCAGGTGGACCTGGAAAAGGCAAAACAATGATTTCGGTTCATGTCACCGGCTTGCTCGAGAAACGATGCAATATTCGCAATCAAGTCTTTGCATACTTCTTCTGCGACCACCGGGATACGAATCGCAATTCTGCATGTGCAATCCTCCGCACTCTGATATACCAAATCATCGAGCAGAAACGAGGTCTGCTCAGCAAGGTCTTCCCTTACTTTCAGGATGATCGGCGAGCGAAGGCTACGATACAGTCGCGCGAGGCCCTTTGGCGAATCGTCACCGAGCTACTGCACGAGCAGGAACTTGGAGGTCTGGTGTATTTGATCGACGGGCTTGACGAGTGCGATGACGATACAGCTCGTTGGATGGCACAGAAGTTGTCCAGCCTTCATACCGACAGCTCCGGCAAAGATGTGAGAGACGTGAAGATTCTCGTTGCGAGTCGGAATGTCGCAAGCATGAAATTTTCGTCCAAAATCGACCTAGATACCATACAAGACCCAGGCTACGACGAGAGCATCACCAGGTTCATCGATGCGCGAGTCGCTGATATGGCAGATCAGGTGCCCGGTTGCACACTAGCGCTCCAGAATCAAGTCAAAGAAATCCTGCAGTCACGCTCGGGTAATTCTTTCCTTTGGATCGGTTGCGTAATGGGCGAACTGTCGGTCAAAGAGACGCCTACCGAGATCGAGAGTTCGCTAGCAGAGTTTCCTACCGGACTTCGCCCGCTCTACAACCGACTCCTTCACCAGGTACACTCAAAACCGCAGTATCGCTCAGATTGTATCATGTTGCTGCATTGGGTAGCACAAGCGATGAGACCGATGAGCTTGGCTGAGCTGGCAGCGGTGCTGAACATCCGTGGGTCCGACACTATATCAGTGGAGCAAAGGCTCAGTGATCGTATAACATGGTGCAGGTCTCTGCTCATCATCAGAAATTCCGCCGATACTATTCACGCCCCTACGGTCGACCTAGTTCATTACTCGTTGAAGGAACATCTATTTGAGTCGGGCGGGGCGGACGACGCTGACATTCAGCCGTTTTTCTGTCAGGCAGATGCAGCGCACTACCAAATCGCGCACACGTGCTTGGATTATCTCTACAACAATCTGTCTGATAAGGACTACTGGTTCTATGATGATGGACCTGTGAATGCGCGTCTTCCTCTGACATCATACGCCACGGTTTACTGGCCAAACCATGCGAGGCTCCTTGAAAAGGACCTGGCTATGAATTTATTAGCCAGGAGAGACGGTACCTTCTTCAAAAAAGATGGCATGGCATATACCAGCTGGTGGTTTTCATTCCGAATGGCAATGAACCCCGCTCTGAAACGGGGAATGGCTGCCGTTTTCAGTGATCCCGATATAGCTTCCGACCTTAAGGAGCAGGAGACCATCTTTCCACTTCACTTGTCAGCAGCTCTGGGTGTGCTGCCGTGGATGGAGTACTTTTCCACCATAACGCGTTCCAATGTGGTAAACCTCTTGGATCAACTAAGACAATCTCCACTATATCACGCTACACTGAGAGGTCATAAAGACGCGATCATTTGGTTTCGTGATCAAGGTGCAACTGTGGACGATAGATCAGTCTTTACTGCTGCAGCTGGAGGGTATGTTCCTGTCCTCAGATATTTTCTTGCTCATGGAGGCAACCCAAACGCCAGAGCATACAATGTCTTGACTGGAAAATGCGAGAATGAAACAGCGCTCTGGGTTACATGCGGCCAAGGTCTTGAAGACGTTGTACAAGTACTACTAGACGCCGGCGCCGGCCCAGATGAGCTCAGTCTGGCATCAGATTCGATTGAGTTCTGGGAGATTCCCACACCCGCCTTCGTCGCAGCCTGTTTTGGAGGCAGCAAGCATCTTGTGGAAACTTTGTTCTCCCGAACCAAAGGCCTGCATCTCTACCTGGACTACGGCTTGTCAGCAGCGATTAGCTGCGGCCATGAAGACGTGATTCGATTCCTCTTACCAAAAGTTGGGACGGTTGGCTATCAGAGCGAGCGAGAGAAGAAATTCTTGTCTCGTGCTATGCTCGCTAACGTGTCTTCATCTATCCTCGAGCTCTTACTAGATTTCTTCGGTTCGAACGCGGACTTGGTGGGTCACTTGGACAAGAATGGTTCACCCTGGAGAATGATCAAAATTGCAGCCTTTTTCAAGAACCACGAGACTATGCAGATGTTGCTGAACAGAGGTGCCGCACCGATGAATAGCAGGTTTCTCACCGCTACCGAGACAGACGACGCAAACCTTCTCGCACAAATCTTGCAACAAGATGTTGACATGACCATGTCTCTACATGTTGCGGCTAAACATGGTTCCCTTCAGGCTGCGAAGTTGCTCATCGCGAAAGGAGTAGCGATCAATGGTGCTAATGGACAAAAGAAGACCCCACTTATTATCGCAGCTGAGAACGGCTTTGCAGAGCTTGTGGAGCTGCTTCTCGAAAACGGAGCCAGTCCCAAGACCAAGGATAAGGGGGACAAGAATGCCCGCATGAGAGCTGAAGCAGAAGGCCATGCAGATGTGGTTCAGGTCATCGATGACTGGGCTCTCAAGATGAAGAAGTAACATCGGCTGTGTATTTTTCGATCACAACGCCCCAAATGTATGTTCTGATATGATTCCCTTCTTTTAGGCCTAGTACTTGAATGGCGAAACCACCTACCGACGGTGAACATGTGATGATAACACAGTTTGCTAGAACCATGTGATGATCTGCGCTGAGATCTATAACTAGAGGCATCACAACTTAACGTCCTACGTTATCAATCGTCTTAGCATATCCCAATATGGCAGAAGCAGCCGGACTTACACTTGGTGCTCTCGGCATCGCCGCACTCTTCAATAACGCCCTTGAATGCTTTCAGTACGTTCGTGTAGCCAAGGACTTTGGCCAAGACTTCGAGACATACCGCATCAGGCTCCATCTATCCGAGATTCGGCTCTCTCATTGGGGCAGTGCCGTGGGTGTTACAGACACGGACGCTGAAACCCCTCTCCGTTTCTCTCCGGACGAGCAAGAAGTTGCGCAACGGACGCTTGAGCATATCATCAAGCTGTTTCAGGTAACGGAGGAGAAGGCCAAAAACTTGGAGAGAAGATCATCAGAGCCTGAATTCAGCGATCGCATGAGGAAGTTGTGTGATAAGATGAACAAGCTGGCTCTAGGCAGAACCAATAAAGCATCCAAGACGAAAGACGGTCTGTACGCGAAAACGAAATGGGCGCTGTTCTCTCGGCAGGGTTTCATCGACCTCGTTGGGTCTATCTCCAGTCTAGTCAACGATCTTATATCCGCTTTTCCAGATGGTATCAAGAAGAATAGGGAGCGATTGTGCAACGAAGACGTAGAGGAGCTTGTTGCGAATGAACCGGAAGTCTCAACTCTGCTGAAGGACGCTTTGGGCGAGGATGACGAACAGATGCAAGGCGCATTGCAAAAGGCTGTTGCTGCGACACATCAAAATACCACTACGTTCTCTGGTTCTGGTGAGAATAGAGGGCTGCAACTAGGTCAGAATTATGGTTCGATGACGAACACTTTTGGTAGATGAGACCTACGGGGCTTTGTTTGTATTATGAATAGAGTGCGCCGTTAACGTAGAGTGCGGTCTGGTCCTTCAGACAAGTTATTAAGATGGTGCTTTAGTATACGGTATGATTGCGATAGCTTTGATGTTGTTCGCTGGCGTGCTGTCTGCTGTGTCACCGCAGTACCGTGGCTTGTTTGTGTTATGATCAAAGCGATACCGTCGAGAAGCAGCAGCCGGGCGAAGAAAAGTTATAAAGAACTATGTCGTCTGTCACATTTTGCCATTCAACCACCTGGGTACAGCTGGGTTGGTGTTGTCGTTGTGAAAGTCTCGAGCGCGTCAGGCGCGTTCCCTCCCCCGGGGCTGGCATGACGTCGCGTGCCATCGGAACTGAGCCCCACAATGTTCCGAGAAATTTTGGCTTTCACCAGTCATCACTCTAATGCCCACTCGCCATCCCCGCATACCAAATGTCAAACCCACGAAGCATTCACTCTATCTCGCACCCATACGTTCTTTGGTGCAAGTCGCTGCATCAAAGCCCCGCCGCGTTCCGATTTCCCCGCTGAGAAGACCGAATACCTTCACGCCTACCGCCTCCAAACTCTACAAGCCAGTTACTGCGACCGCCCCGACTAAACGCGATAGCATCGTCGCAAAGATGCCTGAAACTAGCGTTCGACGCGTAGATCCTCAGAAGCTGGGGAAAATCACATTCAAGAAGTCGGAGGACTTAATCGATGAATGGGACATAGAATACGACGATACAGAGGGCGAGGCTAATGCCGGAACACTGAAGCAAGCAGCGGAGGAGCTTGTGAATACAAACACCCCAGTCGCCTTTCCGACGGAGACTGTATACGGACTCGGCGCGGATGCGACAAGAAGCGCGGCGGTGAAGGAGATCTTCGCGAGCAAAGGACGACCAGCCGACAACCCTTTGATTGTCCATATACATTCGTTGCCGCAGCTGCGAGCGCTACTGCTGGGTAAACTAGATGTCGTAGGAGACGGCAAAGATGCTGGAAAGGATCCCATGCCGGATATCTACAAGCCGGTGATTGAGCGCTTCTGGCCTGGACCCCTCACTATCATTCTACCGGCCCCTGAGAATTCGATCCTCGCACCAGAGGTGACAGCAGGTCTTCCGACTTTTGGCGCACGAATGCCGCGTTCTATCATCGCCTTGTCCTTGTTACGGCTATGCGGTCGCCCACTCGCCGCACCATCCGCAAATGCGTCCACACGACCTTCGCCCACCGCTGCGGAACACGTTTACGACGACTTGAACGGCAAGCTAAACCTGATAATCGATGGCGGGCCATGCGAAGTGGGAGTTGAAAGCACAGTCATAGACGGACTATCGAGCCCACCTGCGATACTGCGGCCGGGTGGCGTCACTGTGGAACAATTACGGCAATGCCCAGGATGGGAGAACGTAGTGGTCGGATACAAGGATAAGCAAGCGGAAGACTCGAGTAAACCACGCGCGCCTGGGATGAAGTACAGACACTATAGTCCAAAGGCATCGGTTCTTCTGTTCGAGGCAGGCGCAAGCCAACCTACATCGGACGAGCTTAAGAGTAAGAGGCGCATTGGTGTCATTCGGACCAAGAGTTGGGATAAAGTGTTGGGTTTGGGCGCCGAGAAGGTGAAGACATCGGATACGAATGGACCAGGAATTTGCGCTTCACCGGACACGGCCGCTTCTCTAGACGCCAACGACTCGCCGTCGCGCCTTTCAAATCTTCTGCGATCTGTCACTCAGCACCAAATACCACGCGCCGATCATTACATTGTGAAGCCCGAGGCAGTCCAGGTTTGGGAAATCAACCTTGGCGCAAAAACTGAGGATGTTGCTAGAGGTCTATTCTCAGCACTAAGAGAACTCGACAAGAAAGGCGTCGAGGTCATATATGTGGAGGGTATCGACGATAAGACAGGTGACGATATTGCCGCAGCGGTCATGAACCGACTCAGGAAAGCGGCAGAGATCAGGACATGAATGGGAGATGGACATGACGCATTTCCTGATTGAATGGGAACGCTTACATTTTCACAACATGCACGCTGTACTACTGATTGTCGGGTATCGATATTCGACGATATAAGACACGTTTGACACGTCGATGGACAACTCAGTGATGCATTTGGCGAGTGTGGATATCAGTTGGCGATAAAACGACTCTCCCACACCTCTCCCTCCGCGATATGTACCGATTCTCTCAACGTTTTTCCAGTGTATTAGCGCCACTATCGTGTCCACTCACAATATGTATCTCGGCCTTGTTGCACTATTAGCCAGCTGCGCTCTAGGAGCTCCCAACGACGAGACCAGTAATCAAACATCTGCAGCGACCGATCAGCTGTCCCCAACAAGCAGTTCTACCACGCATGTTAAAGTTACTGCAACGACCACGACCACTCCACCCTACGTGCCACCTCGTGAGACTGGCAATTATACCTCCGGCTTCGCCACCCCTCCACCTCCAGGCTCAGTGACGGCACCGTCCGATGGACCTGACTACAGTAAGCCCACTAGCACAGCTGTTACTCTATTATGCCCCCATCCGACTGAACCATGCATCATCGACGGTATTCCCATATGGCCGTCTGGCACTACCTCCCTTGTCTTACCGTCCTTTACATATGATCCTTTGCCGACCTCCATGGCTTCTGGATCTCTTCCAAGCGCGGACAGTACCATGGGGACTGATACACTTGCCACGTCTGCCAGCCCAACCAGTCCGATGGGGAAGAGTACTACTTGCTCCCACACTATGTCGCATATTGTACCTGGCAATTCCAGCACCGATCTGCCTTGGACACCTGTATTGCCTTGGATAACGCGCTGGGAAACCTTGAGCACACCGTCAGGAAGTCTCCCGACATTCTCGGTATTGAGCAGTGCCGCATCTGGAATACCAGCGACACCGTTGGCAATACCGGTTATCTCTGGATCAGAGACTTCCGAATTCTACTGGCCCACAAGGAGCGCCATAACTTCCGACAACCTAAGTACTTCCTCTGTCGCGAGCATCAGTGCGGGATCAACAACACCGATCCCTCCACCTAACGTGAGTAATACTGCCACCGCCACTGCAGTTCCCTCTACATCTTCTGCCACATCAACTCACTAACGTTGCAAGGCCAAGTCTACCCAAGTTTCCGAAGCAAAAGCACCCGTGAAAGCTCGAAACACAGGAACAAAGATGAGCAATATCAGCACTACCAATTCTTCCATCCTCACTCTGAAGACTAAGTACATCGATGCAGTGCTGTTCAGAGGTATGGATAACGCAACACCTCTTGCGCGACGAGACGAAGAAAGCAAGGCGACGAAAAGGCGGATAAATTACTGGACTCGCTTCTTCGCCGTTGCGGACCCTCTTGCACCACGGGCGATGGAACAATGCTTGGCCTGCGATGAGGAAGGAGAGGTTACTTGCTTGCCTGGCGGAAGGTATACATGGTGTACGGATGGGTGTGCTGTGACGTTGAACTTGGGCTGTGATATGGTTTGCAAAGAGGGGGTTATACGCAAAGAAGGGAACTATTGTGTACGATGAGGGTATTCGCAGATATACTTTGTACTGTAACAACCATGTCCTCACTTCTTGGGAAGCAGCAAGAATCTTGTACGTGTCTACATACATACGTCCCTTCCACACGACTGCGTGAAGACTTGCCACCCATCGTCAAACTTCCAGGGTCTTCACGCCGACGTTTCACCTCGACAACGTCAACCCGAAAAACCCAAAGTCAACCGACTTATCAGTCTGCGCAATGAACTGTTGCCACCAGTGTTTCGGAACGTACTGGCTTTCGGCGAACCGCTGTTTGTCTTGAAACACCTTGCGATAGTGAACCACATGTTCGATTGCCATCTCGGAGGAACACGATGCGATCGGTCCCAGTCCTTGGAATTCCAAAGAGGCTAAGTTACCATACCGGTAAAGGTGCCTGACGATCGACACTGTACGTCACCTGCAGGGCAGTGCATCCTAGCCGACCAGCAACCTTGGTGCTTGGATGATCTGGGACTCGCAGTTTCACAACACTTCGGGGCTTACCACAGTGCATTTGGAGAGAGGCCCTGCATCACGGCTTGTCCATCTCGTAGGTTTGTGCCAAAGACCGTGTGCTCTGCGATCTACCGACGTCACGTGCGCACTGTCAGATTCTGACCCGCGGATTCCAGGCCACCCACGCACCACGCCCGGGTCGTTGCTTCCGATGCCGAACCGTGCCCACGATCCAGAACTGTCGGAGCGAGTGGAGATCATTACGTGTACTCGCGACCTCGCGACGAGCTATAGTATCGCAACCTCGCCCTTATTCCCAGCCCGAGGAATATGAGAACGACAAACAATGGCAAACGTAGATACATGTCATGCCCAGCTGTTGGGAGATGAAGTTTGACACACCGGGCGCAGAGCGCATGCGTTAGGCTGCGCAAGCCCAGCAGCGCTTATGCAGGAACCTCCTTCCTATCGATAGGCTATATCGATAGCGCAGGGCTGGTTGACAGTCGCCTCGACTCGTATTGGATGCGTGTTAGTGTGCCAGCGAATGAGGTGCCTCGCCGTGGAGAATCGGTTCTCTTGTTGATGGCACAAAATCGGGGAGGCAGATCTCGAGCGCAATATCCTCAGGCGCATACGATGGGAGTTCTCGTTGTGATTGTGTGACGTCGGTGGAAGCGTCACAGCTGCGTTATCTGTTCATCGGCAGACAGAAGAAAACAAAGACGTTCGGAGCCCGATAGAGGGAGGGATATGTCGGTAATTATGACAAGGACCAGCCTGGCGGAGCGCTTTCGCGTGCGTACCACGTTGTTGTGGTTGACGTGGGTGTAAGGTCACCGTTGATGCGACCCGACACCTTGTCCATGAACACCGGAAATAATCTTATCGTGACTTGTGAATCTGTCGACGCTTCAGAACACTGCGAACATAACAATGGATAATGGAGGTGTGATAAGTTGAGCTGAAGCGCATGAGCAAGGGAGCCGGCTGAGTACGAGGTCGCGCGCGGAGGGCCTGCCGTGCCACATCGGTTGGTATTTTTGCATCGGACCGCCTCAGTGTTGACTCGTCGATACGAGAAAGCCTCGTCAGCATCGCATACGCCCTCTCGGCATACCTCCAGTCCTCAGCCCCTTTGGGTCGCGAGCCCGAACACGGTTAACGCTCAACAAACAGGACGATGGTCGCCGGGATAAGGGCCTCGTCATCGCTCGATAGAACTGGTCAGACTCCCGCAGAGGCGATCACACTTTCGGAAATGAGAGCGTCTGCGTCTAGAATACTCGATCAACCCGCGCGGTCTTTGCGCCCGGCCCCACCCCTTGGGATTCCGCGAGTACCAAGACGCGTGAAGGATCTGTGGTCCTGTCACCATGTGGGGACCAACGCACACCATACAGCGAACGTCGATAACATTCACGTGGGCGACATGTCTGACAGGATGACTTTCACGTCTATCGATAGAGCAGCTTGCAGACGCAAAAAGCAGATCTGACACCGAAACCGACGCAAACGGTATACGGCCCCTGCTGGCATGCGTCGGTGAGCGGGTGTACCTGAATGTGGCGGCTACGTGAAACGCACGGCGCCATGCGGTAGCTAATCAAGACGGACCACGACCTTAGCGGCTCAGGCCTCTTCTGAGCTGTGAATGGCCAAGTGGGTTATTTCCACCTGAACCCCTGGCTTACCCGCTTGCGCAGAGCCTGAAGGTGTGAAAGGTTCTAGCCAGGCGCATTTGCGAAAGGATCGAGCGCCCGGATTCCCCGCGAAAAATATATCAAGTTGAAAATCACCCGCCCTCCCCGTTCTTTTTGTCACATCCTGATCCTCAGACTCACACCAAACACGGTCGTTGCCTGTCCACTCCTTTGAGCATTTCTGCTCGGTACATTCTCTTGTCGCTCTCTGACTACCACGTTCATTGTTCGACTGTCCAACGATTTCGCGCTCAGGTTAGCCGCATCTGCTTTTACTCATCGATACCCTACAAGCAAAGCGTAACGCACATCCTTAACCTGCAATCTACAACGAACATCGACATGTCTGCCTCTGTCAAGTTTACCGGCCTTTTGGCCCTCGCCTCCGCTGTTGCGGCTGTTCCCCACTACCAGCACGAGAAGTTCCACCACAGGGCTGCTTACCCTGTCAACGGATGGGGTAACTCCAACACCACTGCCATGGCTCAGGCTACCGGTACTGGTGCCTACCCTGGTGAACAGACTACCACCATCGACACCACTTCGACCTCGACCTACACTCAGTACGAGACCGTCTACCAGAAGCCTTCCGGTCTTGCGGGAGGCAACAAGCAGGTCGAGGCCGCTGATGCCTCGACTGGTGTCTGTGGCGCAACCGTCACTGTGACTGCTTCCGAGAAGGTCACTGTCACCGTCACTCCCGGAGGCGGTGCTGCTGTCCCCACCTCATCTGCCGCTGGCACTGGATACGGAGTCCCTTCTTCAGTCATGCCCGTCGCTGAGTCAAGCTCCACGGCCGCTGGGTACCCTGCCGCTCCTCCTGCCGACAAGCCCACTTCCTCCGCTGCTCAGAGCACCGTCGAGACTCCCGTAGCTGAGGCCACCACCTCTCCCGCTGCCGAGTACCCCGCCGCTCCTCCTGCTGCTTCGTCTTCCAAGGCTGAGTACCCTGCCGTTCCTGAGGCCCCCACCTCCAAGACCCCCGAGATCACCGCATCCGCTCCCCAGAAGCCCGTCGAGTCGGCTACCTCCGTCGCTTCCTCCGCTGCTCCTTCCCCCACTGCTGGCAACAGCTACAGTGGCGTCAAGCGTGGTCTCGCCTACAACGAGGCTCACCTCTGCACCACTTTCGGCAGCAAGTTCGGCTTCGGTTACAACTGGGGACAGGTTGAGAGCAACGACATCGGCACCTCCTTCGTTCCCATGATGCACGGTCCTAGCAAGTCTTCCGCCGACGAGTGGCTCGCCAATGTCGACACGGCCGTCAAGAAGGGATCCACCGCCGTCATGGGATTCAACGAGTGCGACCACACCTCGCAGTGCAACCTGAGCCCCGAAGCCGCATGCACCGCCTGGAAGGAATACATGAACCCCGTCAAGGCCGCGCACCCCGAGGTCACCATTGTCGGACCCTCCGTCACCAACGGTAAGTTTAGGCTCTACGAATTGCATGTGAGACACATACTGACTTGACTTAAAAGGCCCTGCCCCGATGGGATTGGACTGGCTCAGCCGCTTCAACGACTGCTGCCCCGACGCCAAGGTCGACGCCACCAACATCCACTTCTACGACATCTACGACGAGCAGACCATCGACCGCTTCCAAGCCCAGGTCGAAAAGGCCGCCGACATGGGTGGCAAGAAGGTCTGGATCACAGAGTTCGGTCTCAACCCCGGCAGCGCCTCCGAGGAGCAAGCCGCCAGCTTCCTCAAGGACGCCATGGCGTACCTCGACGGCTCCGACAAGGTCCAGGGTTACTCCTGGTTCATGGTCGGTGACGGTGAGAACCAGCTTAACTCTGGCAGCGGCCTCTCGGCTGTTGGTAAGGTTTATGCTGGGGCTGCTTAAGTGCCTAACTTCCTCTCTCCCCGCTTCTTTTTAGGACGGATGGGTTAGGCGTTTTTGTGTGTGGTTAAAAGACTTCTTCTCTGTTTGTGCATGTGTGTATATTTTTGGGTATATCCTTGGGATCAGGCTTTGTTCTCTGGGGAGCTTCATGGCATAGAACGAACGTATGCGCACTCTGATGCAAAACGATCGCTTCAGCATATTGCTTTTTTGTTTAACTTCTAGTTACAGTTGTGTTTGAGGGGTCGTGGTGGATTGGTGTAGCGATATGTGTGATGAATAGAAGATTGTTGATTTCAATTCTTGTCCCTTGCATTCTGTGACTTGTTGAAAGCTGACGCGGTAATGTTGGGTCGGAGACAAGCGTTTACTGACGTAAGCCCCAATGATGCTGTTGCTATGTTGCTTCTTCTCTGTTCTACACGACGAAGCACTGATGCATCAATCTTAATCTCACGTCTTGTTCTAATTGCATCGAGGTTATGCAGTCAGCTCGACTCCACCTTAACGACGTACTCAAGTGGAGTCTTGCAAGGCCAACCATGTCCTTCCTAACACGCGTACCCCCTGGTATCAACCGCGACGATGCTCCCAGGCACCACAACACTTCCATTGACAGGCACGGCCAAACCCCCAGCAGTGCTCACATATAGCACATCCCGATCCCTGTCTGTTCTCCCAAACGCTGCCGCGGTGTCCCCTGCGAACGTCACTGACCCCTTTGCACCTGCGACTACCTCCATCTTCTTCCCGCCTGGACTCACAGCAATGACTGTGTTCTCGTAGTTGCTCACAGCCCACAACGTGCCATCCGGACCAAACGTGAAGTCATCTACAAAGTCGGCCACCGCAGTCAGATTGGCGTATAGTTCTACGACTCCTTTGGAGCTACGCGGTATGTACCCTCTTGCAGTGATGGGAACGCGGTATATGGCGATGAGATCCGAATTACTGAAGTACACCCACTCATCGCGTATCTTGATACCGTTAGCACCGAATCCTACGGTAGCATTGTGCAGTCGCGGATACGGCTTGAGCTCTGGTCCATCGGCGATGATCTCGCTTGTCCCAGTTTTGGTATCGAAGCGGAAGAGGAGGCCGAATTGAGAATCTACTATTATGACAATAGAGGGATCGGAGGGCAATGATTCAACTCCGTTGAGTAGTTTTGCTTGAGGTACGTTGGCGATTTTGTGGACTGTGGGTATGGAGACGTCGGGCGAGGCGAAGGTGGCTTGCCAAACGGACCAGGTACCGGCGTAGCCAGTTGAGTTGGTTGTAGCGTTTCCAGCGATGATGGCGTATGTGTCTGGGGCTGTTTCTGTGATTCCGAGGAGATCAGTGACGTTGGTGGCATGGAACTCGTAGATAGGTTCTAGGGTTGTGTTCCCTAGGGACGGGTTCTTGATGGTGTAGAGGATGGGGGTCGGAGCCAGTTGAGTAACGAGCAGATCGCCATTTGGCCGGACGACGAGGTTTTCCAGCCAGGTTGGGACTGTGGAAAGCTGAGCTACTGTTCTGGCTGGGAGAGGAAGGGCGGGGCCAGGGAGAGGTGAGGATAATGTACCGAGACCTAAGACCGCCAGAGATAGTAGGAAAGTCAGTCTTCTAGGGGACATTGCGCTTTGCTATAAAATGGAATGGTAGTCGTCTCTTGTGGTGTAGTTAGCGAGATACATGGGGCACTTTCGACTGCCATGTAGATATATGCTAAAGGGAGCCGTTGGATGCATGGTCATGATGAGTATCTCGTATCTACTTAGTGATACTCTTGATGTCTTTTCGGATAGGTATGTCAGCATGCTTTAACTGTGCACAGTTCATGTCCCTCCACCTTTGTAGATTGGCGTTGGACTAAAGACCTTACACATCGCCATGAAGCGTGATTCAGCACACGACTGCGCGTGATTGGACCCGTCTCGTACAACAACTCCACTCGTCAACGCAGCCGACCGGGTATTAGCCTAGCGTTAACACTGTAAGATATCAGAGGTACATTTGCCGCGCGTTACCGTTCGGAAAGATGCAGATAGGAGATGTCAAGAGGAAGGTGCGACTGAGAGCCAGGGACATGACCTTGGAAGCGTGCTTTGTCATCCCACGTGTGCTGTACCAAACCAGCCGTCATGACGCCATGCAAATTCTCTGGTGACTTCCGATCTGCCAGTGTCTCGTTAGCCATATTTCTTGCGACTGCAGCTGCCTGTATCGACCAATCTTGAATTCCGAATTATAGAAATGTATCCAGTGCCAATCGCCTATCGATAGCGCTCCTTCGACTGGACTGCTTGTGCCTAACGATGATGATTTCCACAAGTACCGGATGTCCAGTTATTCTGCGCATTCTCTTTAAACACCCATGGCAAGCACATGTTGCCTACGCCAATCTTACACGAGGTATAAAAGTACAGTAACGCCGTCCATACGCCTGCGATGGAGGTTGCTAGCCCGCCCTTATTGGTTCTCCTGCTTCGTTTGTTGTTGTTGCTGTGATTGCTGCATGCCTTGCTGCATCGCATTCTGTCCCCAATTTTGCTGCAGGCCTGCACTATTCGGTGGTTGTGACGCATTCGAGTTCATCCGTTGCGGCCCGGGCGACTGCTTCATTTGTGGGGTCTGCCCCTTCCATCCTGGGAATAGCTCCTGCAGTTTGGTATATAGCTTGACGAGCTCGGTGGGTGAGGCGGGTATCGACATGATGGCGGGCCCCGGTTGTATTTGTTGTCCAGGCTTGGGCACCTTCTCCGCATTCTGCGCGAGGTACGCGAGGTTTGCCTGGAGGCGGCGCATGTAGCTGGGGCTGTTAGCTGACGTCGCGCAAGGGATACGCATCACTTACTCTACGTACTCCTTGGATGGCTGCGGTTTGTCGCCTTCGGGCTTCCCTTCTGGCGTGGGCCCGACTTGGCCTGCCTTGCCCTGCGTCTGGAGCTCGCAAACTTCTTTGATGAGGATGCTGTTGATGTCGAGGAGGGTTGCGACTCGGTCTGCATTACGCGCCGGGTTGGCGGGCGACACGGGCGACGGGGGCACCTGCTTCACGGGCGTCTGGACCTGGGGCGGCTCCGCCTTGACGGGCAACTGGAGGTTCATGGGGGTCTGCTGGCCGTTGGTCTGCATGCTGCTGGGCGAGGGCTGGGGCTGCGGTGTCGCATACGGTGCCTGGCCAGTGGTGCTGGCAGGGGAGGCCGTCTGGCGGTTCTGGGCAAACTGGTGGTGGGCAGGCGAGGGCATCGTCTGCGCATAGGGCGCGTTCGAGTAGGGGCTCGGCGACGACAGCTGGTGTTGTTGCTGCTGCTGCTGTTGCGCCTGCTGTTGTTGCGCCTGTTGCATGGCGGCTGCTCCATGGTGTCATGTCAGCCAGGCTGCGAGGAACGCGCCCACGGGCGGCGATAGGGCAGGACAAGAAACGCGCACGTCACTGGCTTACCTCGCTGCTGGAGATACGGGGCTCCTGGCTGAATGCCATTACTCCCCATGGCGCCACCCATGCCCGGGAACGACGGGGACTGCCCGTACTGCCCATGTGGGTTGGCTTGCTGCTGGAGCCGCGCCTGTGCATCGAATTGGGCGTGTTGCGGGGAATTGGCGAACTGGCCGCCATACGCATTAGGGTTATTGAAATCCATTATCGGCACTCATTGGCCACGTCGCACAACTCGGTTTAGATTGATCGGTGGGTTGATCCGTTGATGGGAGAAAACGTGCGGTTCGTGATAAGCTTGGGTTTCGGCTCTAGAAGCTTTGCAACCCCAGCTCAGGCCAGCCGAGCGAGTCAAGTTGGCCGTCCTCGCCCTCTTTGTTCCAGCGCGGCCACTTCCCTCGAGCGCACCCAACATCGTCAAAGGAATTCCAGAATACATCAAATCCCGCATGGCGCCCTACTTGGCCCAGCGTGCAAGCATGTCCTAATGCAGTGCCTTTAGCAACCTCACACCTCCAGCATCCCTGTCACATGGGCCCACAAAAATGCTTGACATATCTCCCGAACATGGGACGAGACGCTTCCAGATCCGTCACCAGGTACCACGGCCTGCCATTAATACCGGGTCTGAGGCTCTTATCCGCCAACTAGATGAACCGCCGCCACCTGCATATGCCATGTGACTGACTCTTGGGAAGACTCGGCCATGTTTGCATCGAGGGACTTCCGAAGCAGCACGCGCCCTCATCCTCCAGGACGGACGCACGCACTTGTTACCTGTTTCTCTCATGCACTTCTGAAAACGCCACGTTGTATTCAAGTTGAGCTTGGCAATCGAGTGTAACTACATCATAGGCTCCCATGCTGCCACTTCTAAGCGAGCTCTAGCTCATCACGCGGTGTGTGGATGGGTTTCTTAACCGGGATCTAACCTCTCAACGCTCCTTCGGTGTGTGTGATACATCCATGTGGCTGCATGACGTCGGAATGTGGGCGCCGATGAGTATAGTCCTTGTCTCAATAGCAAAACGTGCTCAAGAGCTCCTTGGGATCTGCACCTCTCGGGCCGAAGTAAGATGCAGAAATACAGTAGTAATAAGCACTTCGTAAGGCGGTGTCTCCCTGATTATTCTCCAAAGACCTCCTCCTTCGTCGGTGTCTCTTTACGGCGCAGTGCCACAAAGTACGCCTCTTTAGATTCCTGGAGCCAGTCAGCGTGGAACACCCACTGTGCGGAAAAACCTACAGCGCGAGAGGATTCCGGCTTCTCCCTGTACACCTTGGCGAAGAGACGCTTCAGCTTTGTCTCGAATGCCTTTTCCTCCGATCCTTTGTAGTACTTGCAGAGGAAGTGGCCGCCAGTCTTGAGCGTATCGAAAGCGAATGTCAGGGCGGCCATGCACAAGTCCTACGAAATTTAGTAAAATCAAGAGTGATCGGCGGACTACCCACCATGCTGCCGGCGTGGTCTCTGAAAGCATTTCCGCTGGTGTTCATCATCCTAAAATATGGGTCACTAAGGCTCTTCTTGTAGAAGCCGGCCGTTTGGTCCCAGGGTTCTGACATGTCGCTGAGCACCACGTCTACTGCTCTGCCCTGCTGCATATCCCTCTCCTTCAACGAGAGCCTCGTTGGAGCATTTCGTTCGCTGTCACTGGTCTCTGCTGGGCGCCCGATCGGTTCGAGTTCTACGCCCTCCAGATGAGCATGTCGTTCGATGTCAATGTATCCTCGTTCCATGTCGTCCAGCTCTTCTTCAGTAAGTCCCTCGCTGGCTTTGGCAGAAACCTGTCTTCTGGGTCTGCCCAGGTCCGGATCTCGCACATAGGCTCGAACCTCGTCTTGGATTACAGGTGATAGAAAGTCGCCTTGTATAGTGGAGACGCCTCGTGGGGGTTGTGCGGGTATCAAGTCAATACCTATGACACGGCCCTCTGGAGCAGTACGGTCTGCTGCAACCTGGAGACATTAAGATGCTGTAGTTTGTGGAGATGGATCTGGCGAACCTGGGACCATGATCCTGGTGCAAAACCCTGGGGTCCTTTAGCATCGTGTTTTCAGTGAAGGCGACAAACATACGAGATCGACGACAGTCTGCCCGGGTTGGAAAAGCTTGTGCTTGGTGTTAAGCTGTGGCACGTTAGTCAGTGCGCAGTCACAGACCGAGGCGCAGTTACTTCAAGCAGCTTGAATGCAGCGCGACTCTTCAAGCCTTGCACTTTGGCTTCCTTGGCGAAGAAGTCCCTGCCTTGGCGTGACTTCCATCTTGTTGAAGATGAGGATGCACGCCGATCTGAGAGCCAGTGACTGGATTGGTGAGAGTCACGAGTCGCGCGTCTCAAGGCAAAACACGCTGGCGCTACTGGATGATGGGAAGACTCCAGTAGCAAGCTATCTGTGAGCTGCCGAAATATACGACGTGACAGCATAGGGAAGGTGCAACTGTTGTGCGGCGCCTTCGCCTTCGCAGAACTTATATACTCTTATCGATAACATACGTCAACGATTTCGACATGTCACCCCAAGTCCACGTCCTTCACAAACACTCGCGATAGAAAGGACGATAGCTGGGAAAATTATATGTTGCAAGCGACCTTGACTTGACTTGAAGGACAATCACTGTGTTCGCAATAGCTCATCATCTCGGACTGGAGATGTGAGATCATCTCCGAGATATTATCGTCTTCAACCTCGGAACGCCGAATCTACGATTACGATGTGTCAACGTCCACGGCCGACGTTTGTACCCCGCTGTTCTCCAGAGTCTAGTGAGCACGCGATCTCAGTTGGGTGTGGGGTCGTGTGCTCATCGAACGGTACGTTTTGGATGTCTTCGCAGTATCTGGTGATGGAGAGCCCGGGCGGTACCATTCCGCATGTGACGACACCCATCCAAGACAGATGCAGGCTATCTGGATCATGAGCAGCAGGGCTCTAAAACAGCATCCTATAGTGTTTCCAACAACGGCTGACGCAGAAGGAGTGACAGTGCGCAGCTGACTGCGTCGTCTAGTAAGGGGTGACTGAGGCGCAACGCCATTTTGCGTGCATCTGCCCTGGTGTTCCCCTGACGTGTTGCCATGATGCGCGTCGAATCATGGCGGCTCGCAGTCAGCCCCGTCAAGGGGCTGATGCCGGAGGGAGACGACAGGTGTCAACCAGAGCCAAGTATCAGATCGCGAGTACCCGGGCCGTCAGCGAGGACCGTGGTTGTTATAAGCATGGCTGATGGCATTCGTCGATTCGTGGCGCTAGACTAAAATTCGCTCCTTCCTCCCGCGGTATCCTCAAATCTCCGCTACCAGAGACGATCCAAACACGACAACCCTACCGAGGAGCGACGCCCATGACACACGCGCGAATACACACACAAACACTCACCTGAAAGCTGCCTTGCATGGAAGATCGAATTCACCGCTCATCGACAAGTCCTGCTCACCTCGTGCGGCCGGAAATCTGTCTTCACCTCCGCAACACCATTTTCCGATGACCTCGACACTACGTCGCGCGACCTTTTCTTTCCGTCGATAGAACTTGTCCCCGCCCGGACAACAATATCCTGCTTTTTAGAGCAACAGCGCCGCGTTTAGAGCAACGCCAAACAGCGTCATGTCGAAACCATCCGAGAAGCCGCAATCGCAACCGCCCGCCATCATGAGCGACGAACCGGGCAAGGGCATAAAAGTGAGTCAAGGTGAAATCCCTAGTCGCAGGACATCAATTGACCACTCATTGCAGCCCCTCGGCACGCCCGACATCACTAGCCTTCAGCGCGTTCGCCAGGTTTTTGCGCAGCCAGTTCTGGCTTCCTTCGTCGCCGGCGGCGTAGCTGGCGCGGTTTCACGAACCGTCGTATCGCCTCTCGAACGCCTCAAGATCTTATTCCAAGTCCAGAGCGTTGGTCGCGAGGAATACAAGATGTCAGTACCCAAGGCTCTGGCTAAGATGTGGAGGGAAGAGGGATGGAGAGGATTCATGGCCGGAAACGGTACCAACTGCATACGGATTGTGCCATACTCGGCCGTACAGTTCAGCGCATACAACGTCTACAAGCGGGTACGTCTATTTCTCTTCTGTTCAGCGTGTTCTTGATTTCAGCGAGCGATTTGCTTTTCAAACATTGGGGTGGATGGGACAGGGTAAGGGCGGACGAGGGAGAGAGGGCGGTAAGTGGGGAAGGATCCGAAGCTTCGCCAATGGAAAGCTCAAAGTGAGCCGGGAGGAGATATTCAAGGACACGGAGGTTTCTGCAAAGACGACGACGGCCATGGTATGTCCCAAAGTTTCATAGCTAACTTGCCTTAGTTCTTCGAGAGCGAACCAGGCGCTCCTCTCGATGCCTACCAGCGACTACTCTGTGGTGGTCTTGCTGGTATCACCTCCGTCACGTTCACCTACCCACTCGATATCGTCCGAACACGCCTATCCATCCAGTCCGCATCGTTCTCCGATCTCAAGAAGGAGGCTGGCCAGAAGCTACCGGGCATGTGGCAACTGCTTACAACTATGTACAAGACCGAGGGCGGTTTCCCGGCGCTATACCGTGGCATCCTTCCCACAGTGGCTGGTGTCGCACCGTATGTCGGCCTCAACTTCATGGTGTACGAGATCGCCCGTACCAAGTTTACACGCGAGGGTCAGAAAGACCCGGGTGCCATCGGCAAATTAGGTGCTGGTGCCGTCTCCGGTGCTGTTGCGCAGACCATCACATACCCATTCGATGTCCTGCGGCGGAGATTCCAGATCAACACCATGAGCGGTATGGGATACCAGTACGCAGGAATCGGCGACGCCATCAAGCAGATCATCAAGACAGAAGGCTTTCGGGGTCTGTACAAGGGCATTGTGCCCAACCTTCTCAAGGTCGCGCCTAGCATGGCTAGTAGTTGGCTCAGCTTCGAGATGACACGAGACATGCTCATGGGCAAGTGGAACTCGGGCTTCTTGTAGGACAGACAGTCCCACCTTCGGCATCATCGAAACGAACTACGGCGGAAGAAATCTACAAGAAACTTCACATTACGAGCGCTCTTCCGACAGGAAGAAAGATACACGACACCGTTCACCGACAGCAGGTGGCATTGTATAACGTCAACGAAAGCGATTGATACAAAACACGAGCATTGCATTTGGGAAGGGTCAGCACGGCCTGGGGGTCTGATTTGGGAATGACCTCCCATGGATAACAGCGAAGGCGTTTAACTGGGTTTTAGTCCTTGCAAGTTGCACAGCATTCACATGCAACTTTTCCTTCTTCCTCTTTCTCTAGAGCCGAAAAAGAACGAGCGGTCATGGATCATACATAGAAGCATATTCGAGTCTGCCAAGCTGGCATGATTTGGCATGGCTTGTACAATATAGATGGTTTCGTGGTGGACCTGGGACACTGGGGATAATGGAACTGCTTTACATCAATGCTGGTGCTTGAGTGTACAAGAGTGATTCTGTTTCGCTGAATACACGCACGTCATTCCATATCCTCATATCACCCATGCGCGAACAGAAACCCGTTATTCAACCGCTTCACCACGACGTCCCTCACGTTCAGGACAAGTACTATTCTCCGTCAGCACCAATCCACATTTTCCCTCTTGAGTGAGAATGTCGATACTTACATGCCCTTGCACCCACGGCAAAAGTTCCACGAGTTCATGCACTGCTCATGGCGGCAGTACTCCCAGTCCTTCTTTCCCTTCTAATATCGGTCCAGGAATCAGGTTTCCGGGCATAAGGAGAGGGGTTGGGGGATTACTTACGTTGTGACATGTGTTGAGCTTGTCGATACAGATGGTGCATGGTTTTTTGGCGGATGTGGTGACGTCTGTTGGTGGGGGGTCGCGGTCTGTGGTAATGATGGGGGTGGAAGGGAGGGTTGATAGTGTTGTAGGGGAGATCTGGTTGAGGGCTGTGGTCGCGGTGACTAGGACGAGGAGGTATGCTAGTATAGCGACGGGTTGGACGGGAAAGTGCATGATGTTGGGTTTGGTGATTATTGGATCTCTGTTGAAGTCGTGGAGTGATGTAGTGATAGAGTGACCAAGATCGAATCAGGATATGTAAATAGATGAATAGTATTCTACGTGTCTGGTAGTCGTCATACAAACTGAGCAGTGAGTCACTAACCTAGAAGTGTTTGATGCCTGAATGTGAATTGTGCGTTGAAGTGATTAGCAAGGTGTCACATGCAAAACCTGCACACGTAAATAGTTGAACTAGTGTGACATTTGAGATGGTCTACAGGGAGATCAACCCCAAGATCTTTACTCCGAATGCAAGGGGAAATGGTACAGTATTTACAAAGACCCCCTATAGCTCGCCGTCCTTCCGCAGAGTCTCGTTACCCCAGGGCTCGCTTGTCAAGCAAGTCAATCCAGCAGCCGGCTCGCAGCTCTTCCTTCCGCTCAATGGTCCTGGTGATGGCAGCTTGAGACCGCCAGCCGCATATTGACGTCCCTGCTCGTTGGCAAGAGCCTCACCGGCGCCCGCCTCTACGTTCAGCGATCCCTTGCCCGATGCCAGACCCTTGCCTCCAGGCTGCGCACCAGTAGATTGTTCGGCGGCCTTGAGGGCCTTGAGCAGGTTGACTGTCGAGTCGTATGTGAGATCCTCGTAGTAGTCGTCGTTGATCTGGACCATGGGCGCGTTCGCACATGCACCAAGGCATTCGACCTCGGAGAATGTGAAGAGACCGTCTGCCGTGGTCTCGCCGTGGTGTACGCCCAATACGTCTTCGCAAGCCTTCATAACGGAGTCACTGTCGCAAAGCATGCATGGGGTCTTGATTCTGTCAGCAGCTGCCCTCAATTTCAAGTACAGTATATACTCACAGTTGTGCAGACCTGGACGTGGAACTTGCCCACGGGGTCCCGGTTGTACATGGTGTAGAAAGTCGCAACCTCGTATACACGCATTGGTGGCATCTCCAGTATCCGCGCAACCTCGTTCATGACGCTGATGCTGCAGAATCCGTGCTGGCGTTGTCCGAGGTCGAGGAGCGGCATGACGGCGGCCTTCTTGTATTGGGAGGGGTATCGAGAGACGATCTCTTGGATGAGTTCCTCATTTTGTGGTGTAAATTTGAAGGGAATTTTGAGGTTGTTTTGGGGCGTGTCGCGGTGCTACAGGCGTATTAGCTCGGCCTCCAGCGCAAGATGAATGGAATACATACGACGTTGAGCGAGCCGCTCTCGTTCCATGACGGTCGCGAAACGCTGAAAGCCCGCCATTGAGCCCTCTGGAACTGTCGCGAGGCGCGTGGGGCAATCCTGCATGCGAGGGGGACGAGTCTTGAGGCCATGGTGGGTTGTGCTGCGGGCTGGAGGCGATGGCGTCGATTGAAGATGTCAACGATGAAGCTCATCCGAAGCGCCAAGTAAATGTGCAGGGGTCATTGCAATCAGCCGCCTCTGATTGGCCACATCCAACATCTCCACTCCCTTGTACCTTCGACGCTTCCTCACTCCTTCTCCGCATAGTTCAGGTCATCCCAAGCATCGCCTCGTGTGCGTGATCGATAGCATTACCTGATCGCCGTTCTCCCGGAGCTACATGGATCCACGACCTTCGCTGCTTGAAACACATTACCGCCTTTGCTGCAGCGAGCCATGCCCAGTACAGTCGAGGCCGCCACGTAGCTATCCCCACCGACACCGTCCTCGTGCGTTTCGTCGCTGCTGCGCACTGCGGAAGCTTCATTTTTCTCTGGCATCCGCGGCAGTCTAGCCTGCGGATTCCTTTGTTGGCAACGTCCCGTATTAGTTTCTGCGCAAAAAATGGCTCGGTACAGAGCCGCATCGATGCTCGTGGAATGCGCCTACGGCGGTCAACCACGTCTGATGGAACTGTGGGTCTGCTAACACATACGCTGGGGGCACCTCGCGACATTGCATCCTTAGGAGTAGCAGTCGGTGGACTGAGAGACGCATAGGATTCTTCCCTCTGTGCCGCCGTAGGTGGAAAGATACCCTAGCCATGGTGTCTGACCAATCGGCCGCTGTTCGCCTCATTGACGGCGCTCTGCGCGGACGCAGGCAAGCTTGCCGTTTGATGAGTTGTACTAATGTTTGCATTGTCAATTCGGTATCTTCACAGGCTTACAACACCGGCCGCTTCTTCCAGCCATGTTTCAGAGTCATATGATGCCACTACGTGTACGTGTACATCACTCATGCAGCACTTCACTAGTACAAGGGGGCGGTCAACATCTGCGCCATATAAGTATCAATCGTTGCTATCATAGCATTTCCTGATCTCCTTCAACATCCCTTTGCTCTAACCCCACTATTACGCTGCCGACCTACACTCGCATTCGTCTCGTGGCTCACCCACATTTTCGCCCAGGATGTGCAAGTACACAATCACGATACTCGAATGCGGTCACAAGCAGGATGATCATGTCGTCACTCTCAACTGCCCCTACTACGATAGGACCAGAGTACCCTGTGACCGTGACAATTCGAGGACAAAAGATCGCTGCACCGTAAAAACCAGAGACCAAAACGGGATTTGCAACAGATGTCTCCGCGACAACGAAGAAGCCGCCATGCGCCGTGACTTGGAAAAAGAAAGAGAACACAAACGCCGAGAAAACGAAGAGGCCGCAGAAGCATTCCGACGTGGGCAGGAAGAACTTAAAGAGAAGAACCGCCGGGAGGCGGAAGAAAGACGACGGGCTCAGCAAAAAGCCGACGAAGAAGCCAGGGACAAAGCCCGCCGGGAAGCGGACAGAAAGCAGCGAGCTGACGAAGAGGCCAAGGAGAGAAGTCGCAGGGAGGCCGAAGAAAGACGCCGAGCGGATCAGAGGGCCGAAGAAGAAGCTACGGAGAAACGCCGCCGGGAAGAAGAACGACGTCGTCGGGCGAAAGAAAAAGCCGACGAAGAAGCTATGGAGAAGCGCCGCCGGGAAGTGGAGCAAAGACGACGGGACGAGGAGGAAGCTAGGGAGAGGGACCTCAGGGAGGCGGAAGAAAGGCGGCGGCAGGCCAAGAAAGAAGCCGATGAAGAAGCCATTGCGAGAAGACTTAGGGACCAAGAGAGAGAGCTGGCTGAAAAGGAACAGGAAATGGAAAGAAAACGCAGAGAGCATGAGAAGAAGATGGCAGAGCATGATAAGAAGATGGCAGAGGACATTGAGCGACGCCGGCGGGAGCATGAGAAGAGATTGGCAGAAGAGGAAGCACAAGCAAAGGAGATCGAAAGGCAGAGAAAGGCGGAGCTCGACCGACTGGCCAAAGAACAACGGGATCTGGATTTGATGATCCAAAAGTCCAGAGAAGAAGCAGACCGGAAGAAGAGAGAAAAGGAGGAAGAGGAGCAGCGAGCTCTGAGGGAGTCTGAAAGATGGGAGCAAGAGAAGAGGTACCGAGAGGAACTAGTAAGTTCAAGTCTTGCACCACGTTCACAGCAGCAACTAACCTCACCCTCCCACAGCTCCGATCAAGAACCGCAGCACCACCCTCACCCCCCGCCACACCACCTGCGCCCCCAGCCCCAGCCCCAGCCCCCGCCCCCAAACCC